AATTAAATGACATTAACCTGCAGTGTTGGATACGTGCAAAAGATACATTAAAGTCCTCAAAAGGCACAATGTATAGTATCATGAAAACGATTGTCACAATTTTGAAAATTTACTTTCGGAACATGTTTAGCGAGTCTTTCTTAAGTTTAGAACTTGTAACCATAATCTACCTTTTGATCCTAGGCAATGGAGAAACATTGCTCTAACAGACTGACCACTGACTAAACGATCTGACATAGGTGATGAATACAATTATTTGTTTGTTTGTCCGTCTTTAGAAAACGAAAAAAAACAGTTTTACACAGGTTTAAATACTAGTACATTAACGATTAGGAACAAATTTTGTCATTGTCATTGTTCAAGCTAAAGTGTAAATAAGTTCAGTTCAGTTCGGTTCAGTTCAATCACGGATTCATGATTCAAAAGGCATGATTCAAACACCTAAGACCCAGGGACTTTGTCGACATTCAAACATCAAATCAACACCAAACGCTGTCAAGGATTCATGAGTGCTATGATGCCTTGCTGGACTTTCGTCACGTTTTTAAGGAATTATTCAAAAACGTTAGATCTAGCGACTTTGTCTTCATTCAAACATCAAATCAACACTAAACCCTGTCAAAGATTCACGAGTGCTATAGTGCCTTGCTGGACTTTCGTCACCTTTCTAACATCAAATAAATACCAAATGGCACATGGGCTTCAAAAGCATGATGTTAGAACACAAGATGTTAACCTGGACTTGCTTCATTATTCAAACATCGAATCACCAACTCACTCGCAAATTCCGCCAAGTGATAGCATGACACAAATGATAGGTCTGATGCATGACATGTTAAGTTGCATTTTCTTAATATCAAACATCGAATTGATACCAAAAACCGCCAGGGACTCGCGAGGCGTGATTTATTATGATTATCACCATTATCAAGATACAGAGAAAAATGAAACAATAAATAGAGCAAAGAATGTTCGGGTGATTCTGGGACAGTCAGGATGGTTAGGCTCATCATCAGCTCAGGGCCCATGCCCCTTCTACACGCAGCCTAGAGAGCGAATGGGACTTCTCCCAGGAAGCGCTGCCTAGTTGAACCCACCAAATACTTTTCGGAGAATGTGAAGACTCCCCAACACTGCAGCCTTCTGCAGTACCCAGATTGTCAGAAGGGCTGTATTCCTGGTAGCAAACCCGGGTACTCTCCCAATGTCAGTCAACAGATTGGGAGGTACCAAACCTAAGGCACCGAGAATAATGGGGAGTCGGATAACTTGGTACTTGGGATGCAAGCGGGACATTTCGAAAGCGAGGCCCTCATATTTGCAATATTTTTTCCTCAATCTTGTCAATCACATTATTGTCAAAAGGGACAGAAAATTCAATAATTTAAATGATTTTATTGGATGTATCAAAAAGGAAAAGATCAGGTTTGTTGGCCTTGAAGGGCCGAGGCTGTAAATGTGCCTACTGCAAAGAATGTTGTATTTATTATTAGTATTATGAGTAGCAGTTTCTTTCTTTGTTGTTTATCGCCCCACTCAGTAATATTTCAGCTATATGACGGCGGTCTGTAAGTAGTCGAGTATGGACCAGACAATCCAGTGATGCAATTGGGATAGGATGACATGCACCAACCACGTCAGCGAGCCTGACCACCTGAACCTGTTAGTCGCCTCTTACGACATGCATAGTCGCCTTTTACAGCAAGCTTTGGTTGCTGAAGACCTATTCTACCCCGGAATCTTCACGGGTCTATTAGCAGTTGTAGTAGTAGTAGTCGTCGTGAGGCGATCACAATTGATAGGGTAGTCAGACACTTACACTGACTGCGGTGCCTCCCGACTGTGTGGGACGTTGCTCCTATTACCAGACACAGAGTTTTCTGGCGCAGACGCAATTACCTTTAGCGAGGCATTAAGCAACACAACAACAACAACAACAACAACAACAGCAACAAACATAAAGAGAATCTTTCAGTTATATCTAAGGAACGTGAACACCATGTCTCCATCTGAACCGCTGAAGATAATGTCATGCTTTGACGGGTAATTGCATTGAAACCTTTATTCATTTAGTTCATGTTTTCACGACGAATCTGATATGGCGACCTATAACTTCAATTCAGTGTGATGCTGGACGTTAATGCCTCACAGCAACTGTCATCTTGCATGGAAAATAGTCATCAGCCACAATACTCGATTCCCGTCGATGGTAAAATGAAAAATGTCATTTGCACATCGTACATAACTGGTTATGGAATTACATAACGAATTTGGACCCGTGAAGATTCCGGGGTAGAAGAGGCTTTCAGCAACCCATGTTTGCGGTAAAAGGTGACTATGCTTGTCGTAAAAGGCGACTAACGGGATCGGGTGGTCAGGCTCACTGACTTGGTTGATACATGTCATCGATCCCAATTGCTTAGATCGATGCTCATGATGTCAGCAACTGGGTTGTCAGGTCCAGACTGGATTATTTACAGACCGCCGTCATACAGCTGGAATATTGCTGAGTGCGGCGTTAACCAACCAACAAACAAACAAACAAAACGAATTTGACACATACACAGAACGAACACCTTATTCTGTCAGTGGTGCTACCAATCATCTGCCCCACATGGGGCGGTCGGGTAGCCTAGTGGTTAAAGCGTTCGCTCGTCACGCCGAAGACCCGGGTTCGATTCCCGACATGGGTACAAGGTGTGAAGCTCATTGCTGGAAATCCCCGCCGTGATATTGCTGGAATAAAGCTAAAAGCGGCGTAAAACCAAGTTCACTCATTCACTAATCTTAGTCCCTGACAATGCTTCGTTTGTTGATTAGTATGATTAGGGTAAAATTGGTGAGTAAGTTTGGTTTAATATTCAGGCAGCTTTTAAACATATGTCAGCTGGACCATGACGTGTGAGATGGCGTGATGCGAACTACAAAACTAGGTACACTTTTAGCACTTTGGTGAAATGTATGAACACAATAATGGTGCTTTCAAACCACGGATAATGAAACCAGCGAGAAGATCATCTTTACACTATAAGGGGCGCCATGTGAAGCACGTTAATTAGGCGATAAACATACGGTGTTTTCAATGTAGAGCTAGGTTACCTGTAGATTTAACCGCGCTAATTTGAAGTTAGACCGAACCGAACGCGCAGCGTGAGGTTTCAAATGTTAAATTTAGCGCAAGGCTTTCGCTCTACATCGCTTGTCACCATTATGACGTCATATTGCTCATTGTGACGCACAGGATATGACGTCACAGTCGTATATAGAAAAGCGCCAAAATTCCAAGCTCTCTGTTGTCTTCAAAACGTAAATATATTCCCTTGTAGATTTCTGTCGTGTTTTCTGCACGAAATGTATTGCCACGCATCCTTTGAATATTGTAGTAACCGCATCTGTGCATTTTGTAACCTGTAATTGTAGGTATTATTATTTAAATAGGCCTACCGACAATGACTGAAAAAAGTACTATTCTTTGAATATTAGCTTCCGCGGTGATGCGGCCGTCAAACCAGCTGTTTCAATCAGGGGGTTTATTGTGATTTAATAGCCTCTGATTGACCAATCAGAATCGAGTAAATTCCAAATTCATGGTAGAATGACCACTGAGCCACCTCTGAATACCTGATTTTTATATTATTAAAGGATGACCTACATGTGCTTCGAGATGAAGTAAAGTAAAATGGACCAACTTTTTTACACATCAACAGATGATGAACATGTACTCGTCATAGGTATTGGCACATGGACATATGGACATGTCATGAACTAATGGACATCTGATCACCATTCTCACTATCATATGCATAAGGACATTGCCGCATCATGGACAGCGACGTCGACATCTGAGCATCAGTGTGTGAGTATGGTTTTACGCCGCTTTTAGCACTATTCCAGCAATATCACGGAGGGGGACACAACAAAAAATGGGCTTCACACATTGTACCCATGTCGGGAATCGAACCCGGGGCTTCGGTGTGATGAGCGAACGCTTTAACCACTAGGCTACCCGACCGCCACCTGAGCATCAGATACGTGGCAATCGACATATCATATACTCAGGCATTAACACAATAATTCATGATTATTCTAAGAGATATGAAAACAAATTTGTTCATGTCATTTATGACATGATTATAATTGTTTATTACACCACGAGGGGCACGGGTGGCGCGGTCGTCAAAGGAGCTGTAGAGAGTTGCGTACTATAGACACACCAGAAACCTGTCATTGTGGGTTCGAATACCGGTTCGCCCCGATTATGTTTCTAGGTTCGTCAACGTCATACCTATGCTTGTGGGTTTCACCGAAGTGGTAAAGGTCTGACACCTGCATCACTTCGGGCTTTCCTTCAACATTAAGCTGACACGCCGTGATATGAATGGAATACTGTTCAAAGCGGCGTTAAACCCAACTCTCTCACTCACTATTTTCAACAAAACTTTTCAATCCGTCAAAGTCAGGAAGGGCAACAGTAGGTATATTATCCTTCACTTTAATTGATAACTAAACACACTGATCCGTGGGTATTCCAAGCATGTATAATGCATGATTGCTCCAACGCGATCGTCAAATGTGGCTAATTGGTTTACAAAGAGCATTTATGAAAATAATAAGTTAACGCCGCACTCAGCAATAGATCAGCTATTAGATTCTCCAGAATATTGGTTGCCGAGTACCCCATGCTTGCCGTACGAGTTGACTATATAGATCAGAATTTCGGACTCGTGACAGGGTTGATTAGCGGCGGTGGAGATCGTTACCCATTATAATACTCACTAGTTGTCCCCCTTCACAGTCAATTCTTTACAGGCCGTTGTTATATAGTCAGGATATTGGAGAACGCTTTGTGAAGCAACACGCAAACAAACAAACTATCAAACGAGGAACTTTTATTCTCAATACTCCAAATGCCACTTGAAGCTCAGATTTTAACTTTAAAATTTGAGGCAAAAACGCAAGAACAGAAATACAAAGATTAAAACATCTAAAGTCAGCCTTACCTTGAAGACTTCATAACATTCCAGCCTTCCGCTCTAAACGGAATGTTACCTAGGTCACCATAAGTGTATCAGCTGCGCACACTCTTCCATCGCGATATTAGAAATGATTCTAGAGTGCTTGGCTTAGAAGCAAATACGCTAGAGGATTTTGAATCAATATCAAGAAGCCAATGAAATCCACTGTAGCAAACAGAAGCGCGCAGCAATTAAGTTGAATCTGTCTGTATGGTAGGAACATTGCCGAAGTTTGAGTTACTGTATCTTGGCGTGTGGTATCGTGACATCATTAGGTCATTTTAAGTGTCACCGACCTCTTCGATCGTGTTAGCAGATAAATATTGCTGTATTCTAAAGAGGGTATGTCTCGGAATCAGAAGTAGATCATGTATGGATCCGTGGTTTAGTGGCAGAGCGTCCGCCCGGAGAGCGGAAGGTTGGGAATTCGATACCCAAAGGCGCTGAAATATGGTACTTGGTGTTACCGTCAGTCTGTACGGGGATGTGCAGGTACAATGAGATACCGTCAGTCTGTACGGGGATGTGCAGGTACAATGAGATACCGTCAGTATGTACGGGGATGTACAGGTACAATGAGATACCGTCAGTCTGTACGGGGATGTACAGGTACAATGTGATACCGTCAGTCTGTACGGAGACCTACAGGTACAATGTGATACCGTCAGTCTGTACGGGGACCTACAGGTACAATGAGATACCGTCAGTCTGTACGGGGACCTACAGGTACAATGAGATACCGTCAGTCTGTACGGGGATGTGCAGGTACAATGAGATACCGTCAGTCTGTACGGGGATGTACAGGTACAATGAGATACCGTCAGTCTGTACGGGGACCTACAGGTACAATGAGATACCGTCAGTCTGTACGGGGACCTACAGGTACAATGAGATACCGTCAGTCTGTACGGGGACCTACATGCAGGTACAATGAGATACCGTCAGTCTGTACGGGGACCTACAGGTACAATGAAATACCGTCAGTCTGTACGGGGACCTACAGGTACAATGAGATACCGTCAGTCTGTACGGGGACCTACAGGTACAATGAGATACCGTCAGTCTGTACGGGGACCTACAGGTACAATGAGATACCGTCAGTATGTAAGGGGATATACAGTGACAATGAGATATTTGCAGTGTGTGTGATGAGATAAGTGAATACATTGTGCTCTCAGAGGCTAGAGAAGTAGTCCATTGTCAGTCCTCACCTTAATCTGTTTACTGATGTCAGTCGTAACACACTGGGCTCCGCAGTGGTGAAGAGGTCACCGGAGATGACCACCTTTGTACCGGAAATGAGCTGCTGAGCTGGTCGATAATGCTCTACACTTGATAGCTGACACAATTGAGATGACAGCCACCAGACAGTCACCGCAAAAGGTTACACCCTCTTTGGACCCCCAAGGTTTAACATCAGAAGTCACCAATAAAGAAAACAAGTCCCTACAACGATCAGTAGCTATCACTAAAATCCAAACTACCTTGAACAGCTGGACCCATATATACAATGATGGATCCAAGAATCCTATCAACAACACTGTTGGTTACGGCATCCATATCCACAGCTCCAAGCCCCAAGCACATTCGGTTCGCCTGCCTGATGGTCAGTCAGTATTCACTGCTGATTTGAGACTAAACACAGTCAACGATATTCTATACGAATATATAGAGGTTATCACGCGAGTGTGTTTGGGGATGGTAAATATCCTGCATTAGGAATAAACATTGTATTTAGCGAGCCTTGGCGAGCTAAATACATAGTGTTTATTCCTAATACAGGATATTTACCATCCCCAAACACACAAGCGTGATAACCTCTTTATCATTTAATATCATTCTTTAATTCTGTGCTTCAAAATCGCTTTCCCTCTCTCACAAACATTAGCGAAACATTGCGAGTTTTCCTGGAATGCGCGCATTAATATTTAGCCCGTCACAGGGTAAGTGATGTGTCAGTCGGACAGTGACAGTAGCCAATATAGTTCCAACTAAAAACTGTTTCTTATACTGTGGCGAAGCAACTTATACGCAAAACAACAGTTGTTTTTAATTGCCTTTCGCGGCAATCCATCGGTCTGTCCGCTAGAGTAACTGCCCTTTGTCAAAGGGAAGCTACTCTAACCCTAGTCTATGAGACGTCACGGCCACGGTCAGACGTTGTTGACAGTCGGTCTGTCCTGTCATTACGTTAAGAAGTGTAGTCAGATGTACACACAGCGACAAAACGAAACAAGGTAACAATTCAAACATATTTCGGCCCAATCCAACTATTTTAATATGTGGAGAAGGTTTTAAGCTGCAGAGGCCTACAGGCACAGGTATGGCTACTGATCCCGCTTGGCTAGGCCTCGTGCCCTCGCAAAATTGTTTCAAAATTTATATCTCCAAAGTTGCCAAAACTTATAAAATGCCTTAGCTACGTCACAGTTAGACACTGATTCTCAGTATATTAGACTGTTCTTTTGATAATTATAGCAATTATCCCTGTAGTTTATCCAGATTCCCGATGCTTAATTCTGACTCGATCGCCGAATGACGAGGGCGACGCCATGTTTGTTTATAAACAGTGAAAGTAGTCCTACTTGACCTTTGATATTTGCATCTCTATCCGCATATGACCCCAACGGATATCGTTTTTATCCGTTGGCTTTATCCTGCCGAGAAACCTACCCATTATATAATAAACAAAACTATCGGGCCAAGGTCATCTGGTGGATCTGTGTTGGACCCCGTCTCCCATAGATATTTATGGAAATGAAAAAAGCAGTCATACTATCGAAGCTAGCTCCAGACAAAGCAGAGATACAGCCTATTCCCTTCAGTAAACTAGAGATGCAAATCAAAATCAAAGCCGTCGTTGGCCAAAGATGGCAAGCCCAATGGGATACAAGTAAGATCGGCAGATGGCTATACAATATCCAAGCTAAGATCCACAAAAACCATACTCATACTCAAATGAAAGGGAAGTTGAGGCCACCTCACGCCTCACCATCGGTCACAAAAATCACTATATATGACAATCAACAGGATGCCATTGCTCACTTGTTACTGGAATGTCAAGACCATCCCCAGCCCAGGCTAAGTTAAAACAAGAATTGCAGTTAGATCCGCCATCTGTCGTTGATACTCTACAGCCAAGAGATGCAATGGCGAATGCAACACTTATTCTATTTCTAAGAGATGGACGGCTACCAGAAATTATATAAACTGATCAGCAAAAGATAAAAAATGAAATCATATCAATATACGAAAATAGAAATCTTACCAGTACTAAAACTCACTATATATTGACAACATATGAGTCCAAAAGAGGGACAGGTCATCCGAAATTGCTAAGGCGACCTCTTAAACACTGAAAGCAACAACAGTTTGCGACTGTACGGTTTCAGGTAGGCCAGGTTGGGCACGTCTAGAAGAATATTACAAAGATATATTTTTATCATTTTTTAGATCTGGTTGAAACCCTGTCACTCGAAAGAGGCAAATATTCATGATAAGTGCAAAAGGTTCGAATTGAAGGCAGGGCAAAGTCCCAGTTGATCACGCAACAGAAGAAGCACTTGCCATTTAATCAATAACAGTTACACGAATGCATAAATTTTGCAACAAAATGATTGCTCTTTTCTGCAAAAATACGCTGCCATCAGGCCAAGCAGTCATAAGTCTTGTTTAGATCTGTTGACAAGTGCATGGTGAATCAAACAACATTCCTCACTTTTTACATTCATGAAAAGAATCTGCTATTTATGCCAATATGTAACAGTATGTCGATCTGTTCTTCGTGTATCTGGATTAAGAAAAGTATACATTCTCTTTTTGTTTAGGGCTTAGCACTCACATGTCATTTTATTGTAATGCAGCAAATCTGAAAGATCACTTAACTCTGTAAGCCGTGAGGGCTCCGGGCTAGAATAGGTCCCCAGCAACCTTTGCTGGTGGTAGTGGTGACGATATGGATCGGGGGTCATGCTCGGTCACTTGGCTGATTGCGTGTCATCGTACCCTGGCAGCGGAATGTGGACCGTAATATCAATGACTGGAATATTGCTCAGTACGACAAACAAATTAAACCAAAAATAATTATTCCCCTCTCTCTTATTTTTTTACCTCCTTCAGTCCCCCTCTCTCTCACGTAAAAATATAAGTATTCCTCTTTCTCCATCTCTCCCATTCCCCTCTCTCCTTCTTTTTTCCTCCTTCACTCCCACTCTTTCACGACAAAAAATAATAAAAAGGTATTCCTCTCTCTCTCTCTCTCTCTTACTTTTTCCCTCCCGCACTGCCTCTCTATCGCACGACAACAATCTTTCGATATCGCACGACTCTTTCTTCCCCACTCACTCCCTCTCTCACGACAAAAACAAGAGAAAAGTATTCCTCTCTCTTTCTTTTTCCCTCCCTCACTCCCTCTCAAGACAAAAAATGAAATAAGTATTCCTCTCACCCTCTCTTCCATTCCTCTCTCTCTCTTACCTTTTCCCTCCCTCCCTCACTCCCTCTCTCCACGACAAAAAATAAAATAAGTATTCCCCTCTCTCCCTCTCTGCCATTCCTCTCTCTTTCTTTTTCCCTCCCTCTCTCTCACGACAAAATAATAATAAAAAATAAGTATTTCTCTCACTTCCTTTTCCACTCCCTCACTCCCCCTCTTTCACGACAACAAAATAAATGAAATATGTATTCCTCTCTCTCGCGCCCTCCTATTTCCCTCTCTCTTATTTTTTACTTCCCTCACTCCCCACTCTCTATCTCACGTAAAAGAATAAGTATTCCACTCTCTCCCTCTCTCCCATTCGTCTCTTTTTCTCCCTCCCCTTCTTTCACGGCAAAAAAATAAATAAAATAATTAGTCCACTCTCTCCCTCACCCCCATTCCTCTCTCTCTCTCTATACCTCCATCCCTCACCCCCCCCCCCCCCCCCCCCACCTCTCTCACGACAAAAACATAAATAAAAATAAGTATTCCTCTCTCTCCCTCTCTCCCATTCCCCTCACTTTCTTCCCCCTCTATCCCCTCCCCCAACTATCCCTCTCTCTCACAACAACAAAAAGAGTATTGCTCTCTCTCC